ACTGGACAGAACAGTCTGTCCGTTCACCTGCTAATAGCCACTAGGGTTTCACTAGATTTCCGGCTCCCACAAGTCAAGCTGCTCTAAACATTCATGTCCAAGTCGTTACGGACATTGGCTTTCCTTTCCCACAGGTAAATACTTGGTAGAATTGCTGGATTGTATAACAGATTCACTATGTTCAAGTGTTAAAGAAACTGCCAAGCTGTTTTCCAGATCATACCATTTTATGTTCCGACAGCAGTGTACGAGAGTTCCAGGCTCTCGCATTCTCACCAATACTTGTTGTGATCGGTCTTTTTAATTTTAGACATTCTAATAGGTAACGGTGGTACCTCGCTGTGGTTTTAATTTGTATTTTCCTAATGACTAATGTTGAACATCTTTCCATGTGTGTATCTAACATTCATACATTCTCTTTGGTGAAGCATTTATTAGGATCTTTTACCTGTTTCTCTTAAAATTGGGTTATTTTCTCATTATTCAGTTTTGAGAGTTCTTTATATATTCAGGATATAAATCCTTTATCGGGTATAGGATCTGCAAGTATTTTCTCCCAGATTGCCTTACCTTTTTTTAATAAATACTATTTAAAGTACATTATATGTACTGCACAGCCAAATAAACACAGCTGAAGATACAATTCATTAACTGAAAGATATATCTTAAGAAATTATCCAAAACAGTACGAAGAGACAAAGAAAGTAAAAACATGAAAAAGAAATTAAGAGACAAGAAAAATAAAATGAAAGAACATGTTTCATCAGAGTTCCAAAAAAAGATAATAAAAAGAATGAGGAAGAATGCCTGCAGAAATGATAGAGAAGTTTCCATTACTGTTGACAGATGCCAATCCTCAGAATCAGTAAATTCAACGATTCCGAACAGGAGAAAGTAAAAGAAATCTACATCTAGTTCTGCTCAAAATGGAGGATTACATGACAGTAAAGGAATTTTCAACATCAAATAATATAAAACCACAAAACAGGACTAACAGGAGTAGAGATAATAAAAATGTTTGGAAGCTGGAAAGAGAATAAGAAATAACCGACCTAGTAGATGAGACAAACGTTAAGCTAGAAATAGTAAAACTGGATACACGACCCAGTTATATCACGGAATCCTCCAAAGGTTGGGGACCGATGCCACCACCACCAACTCAGGACATGGAAAGGAAAGGCAGAGCGCCTAAAATGGGCGGAAGAATCCGCCAAAGGTTGGGGACCGATGCCACCACTAACTCAGGAAATGGAAAGGAAAGGCAGAGCGCCTAAAATGGGCGGACGGAGGGAAGACGTTAACGCAGCAGAGAAACCCTGAGACCTCTTCTCAGGTTCTCTGCTGCCGGCGACGGCCTCTCCCCAATCCCAGCGGAGGTCTGAGGTCCATTCTCTATGCCAGGGGTTCCCAAGCCCCAGGCCGCAGACCAGCACCGGTCGGTGGCCTGTTCGGAACCAGGCCGCACAGCAGGAGGTGAGTAGCAGGCGAGCGAAGCTCCATCTGTATTCGCAGCCACTCCCCAGGGCCGGCATCACCGCCTCAGCGCCACCTCAGGCCATCAGGCATCAGATTCTTGTAGGAGCACCGGTCCCCAGTGCCACAAAGGTTGGGGACCCCTGCTACAGACAACTGCACTGTTATCTGGCCTGGGAGATGATAGGCACAGTTGAGTCTTGGGTACCAGATGGAAAACAAGGGGACCGAGTGACCAGTCCCCTTGCTTCCAGAAACAACGCTCACATTTGGTCAAGTGTTCGGACGAAGGTGCCAAGACAATTCGATGGGGGAAAGAACAGCCTTTTCACTGAACGGTGTTCAGTGAAATACTGGACATTTACACCCAAAAGAATGAATTTGAACCCTACTTCGCACTGTACCCCAAAATTAACTCAAAATGGATCACAGACCTAATGTAAGAGCCAAAACTACAACGCTCAAAAAAAACGCAGGGGGCAGGATCAATCGAACTTGGCAACTTACCGGATGTACAGAAACTGCCTCAGATTTTGGTCTGATTGTCTGAGAAAACAGGAAAAAGTGCTTCCAAGACACGTAACCACACGGTGTGGCACAGAAGAGAGCTCACCTGGCAGGCCGGAGGCCGCAGTCCTCAGAGGGGCCTGCCTGCTCGGCTGGCCCCGGGAGCCTCCTGGGAGCCTGGATGAGGGGCGGGCTCCCGCCATTCCCAGAGCTAACAGGAGTGACCTAGACTGTGTGTGCGAACAGCCTGCTTTGCGTCGAACGCCTGCCTGCCTTCCGGGGGTCTGGACCTTTGGCTCTCGCCGGAGAGAGGCTGCCTGCACGAGCAGTCCCAGCAAAGCCCCAGGCGCTGGGCCTCCAGTGAGCCTCCCCGGCAGACGTTTCCCATGGGCTGTCACAGTTTCTTGCTGGAGGAATTAAGTGTGTCCTGTGTGACTCCACTGGAAGAGGACGCGTGGAAGCCTGTGCCCCACTTCCTCCAGGCTTCACCCCAGGTGCCTTTTCCCTTTGCTGATCTTGCTCTGTAAACTCACCGTCGTGAGTCACAGCCGTGAGGACCAGATCCTGAGTCTTGTAAGTCTGCCTAGCAAATGAGCGATGCCGGGGGAGGTCTTGGGGATCGACACAGGCATATGCAATGAGAATAAGTCAATTTGCCTTTACAGCATAAAGTCAAGCCAGATCGTCAAAATCCTGCTGGACAGGTAAGTCCCGAATGCTTCTGACAGTGTGCGCACGCAGCCGGGGGGCTCCCGAACCTGGCAGGGAAGCAGGGTCACACATGGGGAGCTTTCCAGGCCCACCCCTGTCACACTGAACCAAAAGTTCTGCCGGTGCATCTGAACCTTTATTCCTTGGACGAGTGACGTGCTGCCCTGTGATTTTCGGAGAGCAGAGCTTCCCCAGCCCCTGGCCTCAGCGGCTGTCAACTGGCAGGACGCACACCCGCTCGCACGCTGTCCTCTCCCGGCCCACACCCCGCTGCTGCTCATCCCGCCCTGGCTGCTGTCGCCCCCCACGCTACGAAGTTTGGTGCCGTCGTTCCATAGCCAGGGTGTACATAAAAACATTTTTGGAGAACTGTTTTTAACACCTTATTAACTTTAAAAGTGCACAAAAAAGTGCTCTATAGACAATAAAGGGCTTTACAAAGGTAATGTATCATTAGGCTCAAAGGGCAGGCGTGTACGCCATAAAACAGTCACAGCTTTGATGTAACGCTTCCAGCGCAGTTGTACCTCTAGACTGGCTCTCCACCTCCCTCTAATTACAGGCTCACAAAAAGGCTACGAAAACACTTTTAATTTTAGTTTCAGGTTTCAGTTTTGTTGATCTTGAAACGTTAACATTATTTTCATGTTAACGAGAGAAATTTCATCAGAGAAGATTACAGGCCCATCATACCCAAACATCAAAACTCACTTTATCACACCGCTGGAACCCCTTCCTGCCGAGTCCCTTTCCCTTATCATGGACACGCGCACCCCACCTCACCAGAAAGCCCACTCGGTGCATTTATTTCACCTTCCTTGAAGTTCAGGTCATGGGAAATCTCAGAATTCAAAAGGCGCTTCCGAGTCCTGTTGGACAAGTTAAGTTCCGAAAGCTTGTGACAGTGTGTGCATGCGGCCTGGAGGTTCCCCAGCTTGGTGGGGCCAAAGAGTCATTTGGGGGTTTTCCGGATCCCGGCCCAGACGTACTGAATCAAAAGTTCTAGCAACAGGGTCTGGGCCTTTTTATCTCAAGACTTTTGAAGCAGATGCACCTGGCAGAACCCCACAGAGGCTCTAGATTTGTAGAGACGAGTATGGCAGGTGGCAGGAGAAGAGAATTTGAGGAACGATCTTTAGAAATTTGAGGGTAAAGGAGAAGCCATAATCTTGACATTAGCAACAGTTCTCCCAAGTGGCACAAGCATTAGGACGTTGGAACCAAAGAGAAGAAAATATTCTCTAGTATACTACCTTGGCTCTGCAGTGCATAATATCTGCAAAATCTAAACCAATAAACACTGTTAAATGTTTTTCAATTTTATAACCAACCTATAGACAAAATGTAAAGGTTTCATTATAGTTAGATAACAGTACACACATATTATCAACCTCGACAACACAGAAGTACAGCTAAAAGAGCTGGAAGGTGGGTGGGAAGGGGAGACGGAGGCAGGGGTCGGGGCCAGGACCCGCGCCTTACAGGGACGGAGGTCCAGAGATAGGATTCGGAGTTGAGGTATAAAGAAAGTGAGACTTAAGTATGCCATCTAAAGCCATGACACCAGCCAAGAGAAAGCTAAAATAGCAAGCCGAGAATAGCGAGCTGGGGAGCAGAGAGGCCAAGTGACTGGCTCAAATGTAGCTAGTTAAAAAGTTCTGAAGCCAGTGCGTGAACACGGACCCCACGCTCCAGACCTGTGTTCTGTACCAGCGTCTGCTCTTCCCAGCACTGTACGAGGAGGTCGCTTGCCCAAGATTATGTACCCAGTTAGTGGCAGAGCCAGAAAAATGAACTAATTCTCTAGTCTTAATTATTTGGAAAAGTTATTACTAAAATTTCCAGGAAAGATCAAGGTGGATATTTCCCTCCCTGCTCATTCTTTTAATACACACCAACATTTCTTCAAAAGAGCCCCTCCGCCTAGAGACAGACACTTCTTCACCTCTCAAGTGAGCCCTGTTCTCCGACGCCACACCGTATGACGGAGGAAGCCACCTCTCTTGGAGGCAGCCCATCAGCCATTCTGTCTTTCAAAACCTGACAGAAAAGTCAAGAGCCACATGCACAGAGATGCGTGGCTGCTGCTCCGGGACGGGTCGTGGGCAGCGACGTGCACAGGGCTGGGAGGGCGCTGCTCCGCACGACGGCGCAGTGCGCGGGCCAGTGTGTGCCTCGCTAAGACTACTCGGTAGCTGCCTCTTTGTAACTTCATACCCTAAAAATAATTCTTTAAAAATTATAACCCAAACTCATTAGTACTTGTAAAAAGCAACTTTAAAAATTCAATAGAATTGACTGTTGCTTACCCCATTTTCAGTACGTTTTTCTCCAGGTGCATTTATTACATTTCTCTGAGTTCTTTGCTCTTGGGTCTGACGGCCACCTAAAGCAACGAGAGGACCAAATTTATGAAGAGACATACTAGAAAATATCCTTCCGTTTCCTCACTTATTCAAATATTTATTGAACACAAGTATTAAATACCAGGCAGAACAACTCAAGACTACGTACAACTGAAAAAATGCTTTAAATTCGTATACATAAAGTCGTTTAAATGAAATTTTTCTTCTAACATTCTGTCTCAGAATTTTGAAACTGACATATCAAAAGGTTTCCAACACTTTAAAATGGTCAAGATGGTAAATTTTACTTTGTGTATTTTACCACATCGAATTTTTATTAAAAATTTTAAAAGGCTTTTATATTTTAGGAGAGACTAAAATAACACCTAATATCCATTATGAAAAAAACGGATGCACAAAACTGATCTTTACTAGTAGTGTGAAAACTGACGGAACCTTCTCAATCGGGCGGTCTTATAAAGTCTCCTTTGTTCTGTAAAACTTAAAACATTTTTTTAAAAGGGACTAAATTTAAACTAGAAAAACTATATTCTGTCACGTTTTTGAAACAAAACGAAGTGTGACGCAGAATTTCGGGAGCGCCTGAAGTCGCAGACGCAAGTCTGGGAGAGCCGACGCCCGCGCCGCCTCCGCTCGCCGGCCTCTCCAGCTGCACCCGCGACGGTTTTGAGAGTTTTTACACCCTGGAGGGGCTGCTTCATCACCTAACATACAGGACTTCGATGGGTCATGAACCTAATGTTTAAAAAAGACAGGAAAACATTTTTTTTCTATTTATTTCCTATCACTTTAAAAAATGTGAAGAAAAATTATATTACGGAAGTACGGCTTCATCTTAAACCATGCATTCTCCAAGAGAGTGACATCGCCCCCAAAGGGGCAAAGATTGGTTCTCGGAGGATAAAAAAAAATCTTTTTTTATGTATAAAGCGAAGATATATAGTAATATAGTACATAAACAGATATACACTATATCTGATGGGGAAGACAGGGGGCAAGTAAGAACAGAATGTCCGTAAAAAGGGTTCTTGGGGATGATAATGAAAAGGGAGGCTAAATGAATGTGGGTGACATGGCATCCAACCGAACAGTCATTTCATAAAATCTAGAGTAGTTTTCCATTAGCAGAAATCACACGCACACACACTCTAGACTACGGCAACTATCAGTTTATACGGTAAATTAAATTCTTAGTTATTAGTATTTTTAATGAATAAGGTATTCAGGTTAATTGAATATTCTGTAATTGCTGCCTCTCCCAAACAACAAGCTATCGAGAAATGAGAATACTGTAAAACACGCGACATTAACGTTATAGCAAGTGCCACTCAATCTTGGATGGCAAAGCAGAAGTTGACGACCTTGCGTTCCTGCGTCGGAAGACGTAAAGAGCTGACACGGAGCGAGCACCCACTGTGCGCCCAGCCCCCCGGGCACATCGGCCGCACACCTGTCACCCCCACGCACCCTGCAGATGAGGAACAGAGGCCGCTTGCCCCAAGTCCACACAAAGCAAGCAGTAGGGCTGGGCCGACCCCAGGAACTCGGGCGGCCTCGACCCCACGCCCCAGCACACCGGCTCTGGCCTCTCGTCTGCTCTGCATGCCGCTGGCCTGAGTTTCTTTACACGCTAAGTTTTACCCCAAGGGTAAAAGGTGGCTGAACTAAATGTCTTCTATGCCAGAGGTCCCCGACCCCTAGGCCCGGACCAGTACCAGTCTGTGTCCCGTTAGGAACCGGGCCGCACAGCCCGAGGTGAGCGGCGGGCGAGTGCAGCTTCGTCTTTACTGCGGCCACTCCGCAGCGCGGGCATCGCCGCCTCAGCTCCGCCTCGGACCATCAGGCATCAGATCTCAGAGGAGCACCAGTGCCCGGTGCCACAAAGGCTGGCGACCTCTGCTCCGTGCTCTCCTCTAGCTTCCAAACAGAGAACGCCCACGCCTTAGTGACGGATGTCTTTCGCTTACACTCGAATGTATCCCCTTTTAAATAATATCCATCACTGACCACTGCCTGGCCCTCGGCTCCGTGGGAAGCGGGAGGAAGCACGAGTCCTGGATCCTCAATTCTGGCTGCTTAGAGTATAAGCTGGAGAAATTCAGGGACCAAACGCAAAACGGAACAGAGCGCCCAGGCGGGCTGTTCCAGCCGCCACCTCCTCCTGAGCTTGGAGAGACAGGACGGGCGCAGGCGCAGGCAGAGGGAAGGGCCGAGGTCAGCACTACGGAGGGCGGGCGCTGGAATCCCGGGGTAGGGCGGGAGAGAGCCCGAGTGTGCACGAAGCGTGCGCTACGAGAGAGAAAGAAGGGACGACGAGGTTGGAGCGATGAGTCTGGTCCTGTCACAAATGCCATCAGACGTGGGGACTTCGTGAATGTTCTGAAAGGTGAACCTGGCTCTTCCAGTCCTGCCAGCCTGTGCTCCAGCCAGGGGAGAAGGCAGCCTGCCCCTCGGCACACGCCCCCTCGGGGCTCCCGCGGCCCGGCCCCTGCCTGGCACGGCGGAGTTCTGCTGTCCCCCCAAAGCTAAACTCATTCCTCGAGGCCCACTCAAGCCCATCACCCCAGACGCCTCTGCTGACTGCTCGGCGCGGAGGCCCGTGTCCTCACTGCCGCCCAGGCCGACACCCGCCTGCCCCCCACATCTCACATACAGCTGCATGGACACGACCTGACTGGGCAGCACCACGGTGCAACCACGGAAGCCAACCAGAAGGCCAGCGCTGTCACCTGCCTCATGACCCCGGGCAGCTACATATCCCTGATACTGATAGACTTCGTAAAGTGAGAATCAAATAAGGCCCCCACCTCACCAGCCCAGGACACCGAGGGTCCTGTAACACACATCGGTGACAGCACAGCTGGGTCAGGGCGGGCGCGCATGCCCGAGAGCTCGGGCAGAAGCTGGCACAGTCCTTAGTGCTAGGAGAGCACGTGGCCGTCAGCCGGTCACGGCCTCCGCAGCGGGGTTTGTGCAGAGGCAGAGGCAGGGCCCTCGTCTAAGGTGCAACAGTGGACGATGGGCCGGACCGGAACCTGGCTCTCCTGCCTCCAGGTGACGACGGCCAGTGGGATGAACCCAGAAGTCATGGGGCACTGGAAAGCACGGCGCTGTGACAGTATTCACAGCTACGAAAGACGATTTTAAAGGAGACAGTAACTCATCCTAGGGGCAAAATGTCCTTTAACACAGAATACAAACAAAGGGGGATCATCTGCAATAAAGAAATCTTTTTACAGAATATCCTTTCATTGTTTACTTTTTTAAATACCAGAAATAATCCACAATCACTGTTAAACAGCGAATTAAGCATCTTAACTGTACAGTATATACGCTTTCAGTAAAAAGATTCCCTTTTTTTCTTTAATTCAGAAAGAGGCAGTATATGCCCACAGTTCAAAATGCGAAAGGAACCAACAGATATAGATGAATGAATTTCCCTCCTGCCCCGGCCCGCGGCCTTCCCTCAGGCCAGCAAGGTCACCGGTTTCTTATCCTTCCAAAGACCTTTCACATATGCACATGTCAACATGGACACAGTTATTCTGCTGTCTGCGTCACACGGAGGGTAGCACGTGTGCACACTGTTTTGCACGGTGCTTACACACGTCACGTGTGGGAGATGGCGCAGGCCAGGGCAGAGCTTTGTGGCTGTTCACGGCGCAGATCAGGCCACTGTTTGGATGCGCCAGGCTTTCGTCAGCCCGCTGCCCCAGCAGGCGCCTAGGAGTCCTCCCTACCAGCAGTGCTGCACTAGTAACACTGTGCCGTGTCATTCTGTATGTGTGCAGGCGCCGCTCGACAACAAGGCCTCGAAAGTGAGACTCATGGGTGAAAGGTTTTATGCTTTTGAAAGCACAACAGATATTACCAAACTGCCTCCTACAAAAACTGCCAGCTGACACTCCCAGGGCAAGGTGGACACGTGCCTGCTGCTCGACTTCCTTGCCAGCGCTGTGTCATGAAACGTTCCAATCCCTGCCAGCGCGACGGACGGAACCGCACACCTCGGTGTTGTCTCTGCATCTTTAGCAGGAGGAAGGCTGAGCATCTTCTCATAAATTCTGGGCCATGGATTTTCCTGTTCTATAACTGCATATTTGTATATTTCAATAGTTTTTTTTTACCTTTTTTTTTTGCTTATTGATTTTAAGGAACTCTTTATGTGTAAAAGAAATTAGCCCGTTGCCATATGAGCTGTAAATGCTGTTTCCAAGTTCACGACGTCTTTTGACTTTGCTTGGAGTGGCTACTGCCACGCGCTTTTTTAACAACTCACTTTGTCTCTTCTTTTACAGTTTAGTGTTACACTTAGAAAGGTCTTGTTCATCATAAAAATTTTTAAAAATCCCCAAAACATTTCCCAGAATTTTTCTAATCCTTTCACCGTTTTATTTATTCTTAAAATCTAGATGTGAGCCATCTGACATTTATCAAACGCAGTTCCTCAAACGGCTGGCCCCCCTCCCATGTCTGAGTGCACTGTGGGACTAACTCTGGAGCCTGAGAAGGAAGCAAGGGGCCGGGGGCCTGAGAAGCGCAAAGTCGTCGTGAACTGCATGACAGAGGTCACGGGAACCTGTGACACCAGTTAGTCCCCTCACCGCCTGGGAGGGAAAAAATAGCACGAGTTCATTTATTTTAATATTTATTCCTATTTTTTTTTAAATTAACTTTTAGGGCAAAAATTAACGAACGGGGGAGCACTTATCTACCTTGCTCACTGCTCTCAGCTGGGGAGTCCTCGTGGCGAAGGAAAAATTTCACTTCCTCCCTCCGTGGCCCCCACTTCTGAAGATGTTCATACATCATATGATCGAAGGGGATGGGGCGCTCTAGGAAAAAACACATTTACCTCAGAAACAAACAAAATAATTCCTACCAAACGCAAAAGTAAAAATAAATTTAAATAAACGTATACAGACATATGAGAATTTAAGAATATTACAAGTCTTAAATTTTAACCTTAATGAAACAAAAGCAGTATTGGGAAATGCTTTAGGTAATAAACATGAGAAGTAAACATAAAAGCAATTCTGCAACATTAAATAGGTAACATCGAAAAAAATCCCTTTAAACATTTTATGAAGCAGTGTGCCTCCCGCTCTTCACAGAAATATTTCAACAAATTGTGGAACCTTGTTATTCATCAAAATGCTACACGTGGTAATTAGATGTGGACAGCGTACTTCCTGGCAGTTCAGGGAACCCCCAAAACACTTGTACATCACTGTTCATAGCAGCATTATTTATTTACAGTAGCCAAAAAGTGGAAAAAGCCAAATGTCCATCAACCGATGAATGTAGCTGAAAACAGAGATATCGCTCAGCCAAAGAAAAAAAAAAGAATGAAGTGCTGATATAGACAACAATGCGGATGAACCTAGAAAACATTATTCTCAGTGAAGGAAGCCGGACAACAGAGGTCACATAGTGCACGACCCCATTTCTGTGAGTACCGAGCCCGTCAAACGCACAGAGCCAGGAAGTAACACAGTGGTCGCCAGAGGCCGGGGGAGGAAGGAATGGGAGGTACAGAGCTTGGTGAATGTCCTGAAAAACCACTGAATTGTACGCTTTATTTTTTTTATTTGGTTTTTTTTTTTGAATTGTACACTTTAAAATAGTGATTTTTATGTCCTGTGAATTCCATCTCAATTTAAAGGCAAAAAAAGGAAAAGGAAAAGAAAGGCAGTCCTGTCCCGTACACTCCCGGCGCCGCCTGTGCTGGGGAGTGAGGGAGGGGCCGGGGCCGAGGCCACACAGGGCCTGCCGGGGCACAACGGCCGCAGGGCACTTTTCCTCCTTCCGACACAAGCGTGTGGCTGGGTGAGCGCCCTTCTGCTCAGTCCGAGAACGTGACTTTGAGACAAGAGAAAACTCTGCGGGCTGCAATTGGATCACACATCCAACGTGTGACTGGACGTACCCCTGAGAAGTGCTAGGTTTCTGTAAAAGAGAGAATCCCGCCATTCCCAGAACCGCGCCACGCAGCGTGCGGCTGCCCCCCGCCTCCCGACACGCAGAGGTGAACCTCACCCTCCCCAGCAAACACGAGGGCAGCAACGGAAACGGCCACCTCTCAGCTGAAAATGAAATCTGCGTGTGCCTAGCTAGCGTTCAACTTGAACTGTTACCGTAATAAAACACTGAACATTAACGAAGTCAGTATCATCCCATTACTTTAGTTTTGAAAGTAACACCTATTATGTATGTAGGCCTATAGGAGATTTTTAAAAATGTGTATTCTAATTTTAGAACCATGAGGTCTAGATTTAAGCCTAATTATATGCCTCAGTTTTGCATAAAATTGTGTCTCAGGCCTTATTTTTATTACTACTGCTTTGGCTTGTGGTGTTAGTAGTTTTAATTTTGGTCACTTTACTAACCAACATTATCAATAAAATTTCATGTTTACATTTTTTAAATTAAAATGAATTCACGACCTTTACTTAAATGTGCCAAGTCTGGGTGTAACTATAAAAATTAACTCCAATTTTGTCTTAAGCCACTTATTTAACAGAAATTTATTATGTCCTTTTACAAATTAAAAATTTTAAAGAGAAGATTAATTTCAAGAAAAGCAAGCTAAACTTCGCTATCTTCTTTTAAATAAGAAAGGTTAATTAAAACATCATTTCTGTTTTAACAAAACTACCCTATACATCTCATGTAATAAATACCTCATCAGCATCTTATTTAAGTGAAATCTAGGATAACAGTTTTAGTCAATCTTGAGTAAGGCAAAAAGAAAATCAAGGAGGACCTACCACAAAAGAAAAACGGAAGGATCTACATACACTGCCGACTTGCATTCGAGCTGACACCCTGTGTGGGGAAGAAACCACAAAGAGCAGCGGAATAAACCAGCCAAATGAACAGAGCATCATGGCCCGAGCTGAGTTCCCTCCATCGGCTCACAAAGTTGAAGTCCTAACGTCCAGGACCTCAGAATGTGACCTTATTTGGAGACAGGATCTTTAAAGAGGTAATAAGTTAAAATGAGGCCATCGGGGTGGGCCCTAATATGACTGGTGTCTTTATAAGAGGAAGAGATCAGGGCACCGACACACGCAGGGATGGCCACATGAGAAACGGGAGAAGGCAACCGTCTGTGAGCCAAGGAGAGAGGCCTCAGGAGAAAGCAAGCCCACTGACGCCTCGGTCTCAGACCTCCGGCCTCCGGAACTGTGAGCAAATAAGTTTCCGTGGTTTAACCGCCTGGTCTGTGGCGCTGTGCTGTGGCAGCCCTGGCAAACTACTACACAGGTCCATGGGGAAATGTTCTTTCCTCGAAAGCACCAATAATCCCACTGGATTATGCTCATGACACACAGATCACACAAATACGCCATGAGTTACAGAGGCAATCATTTCTATGGTGGGGTTCTCTGAAGCCTGAAAATTATTTTAAGAGTTCCTCTAGGGTAAAAAGATTGAGAAAGGCTGTTATAGCCTTTCTCATCCACTAGAATCTCATCCACTAGGATATATCGCTTCAAAATCCAGCTTTGCTGCTCTATTTTACTCAATGATTTAAGTGTTTATTAAGGGCCTGTTATGAGCACTGGGCTGGGCACTGGGGATATGATAATGAAGAGACAAGTTCCTACCTTCAGGAATTTCAGTACAACGAAAGAACTATGAATGCTCGTGTTTTGGTAAATACTATGACAGTACTGGAGCATAGAGGAGGGACACTTAACAGCTTCTGAGATTCAAGGAAGGGATGAGTGGCTAAGAATGGACAGAAGTTAGCCAAGCAAAGTGGTGTGGGTGCTAGGAACTGTTCTAGATGATGAGAACAGCACGTATAAAAGCCAAGGCAAACATAATATGCTGTGACTCCCTGTGCTCCGAGGTGATGGTCCTCATTCCTGACAAAGTCAATACACAGGTTATGATTTCAGATGGGCTTGGAGACAAGGCCAATGTCCTCAATGAACAGAAACGCAAAAATCCTCACCAAATACGAGCAAACCAAATTCAACAATACATTAAAAGGATCATATACCATGATCAAGTGGGATTTATTCCAGGGATGCAAGGATGGGTCAACATCTACAAATCAATCAGTCCCTCTTGGGACCTCCCTAACCCCATCTGTCAGATGAGTAGTTATCAGACTAGATCTCCAAGGGCCCTCCCAGCTCTATCCCTTGAGGCTGAAGCTGGGAAACATCCATGACAGGTAAGAGTAGAGGGTGTAAAAGCATAGGGAAGAGCAAGAGAGGTAGAAGGAGGGAAAATAAGGGCACTGTCACCTGGCAAACTCCTCTTAGACCTGACTCTCCCAGGAAGCCTTCCCTAAACTCCACTCCTATGGCCTTCTTCCAAGCTCCCCTTTAGCACTCAGCCAGGGCCCAGAGCAAATCCTGGCCCTGGCCAAGGGAACACTGGCGAGGTGAAGAAATGAACTTTTGAGGGAGAGAATATGTGAACAAAGTGCGCTGACTCCCCTGTGGGGCCAGCAGGTGCTGAGAATGCCATGTAGAATCAAGCTGACATGGTGTGTGAATCACTAATGTGTGAGTACCTA